CCCTGTTTCCTGAGCTGAGCTGAACTCATCACTGCCTCCATGTTATCAGTGATCAGAACCACTCGTTTAATTCACAACAAGATTTACTTCCAACTCAGTTGTTTGCTTTGCCCCAACGTAAACCCCCGCTGCTTTATCAGGTGTGGACTGTGGGTGAGGACGCAAATGTCAGAATCTGTCGCTCAGGACATTTCACAGAAACTGTGAGACCGGGCTCACCGGAGAACACAGGAGCAGAATGTCGGCGTGTTGATGACGTTTCTGACTCGAGTAACTGGAGGAATACAAATATGTCAGGAGGGAAAAGAGGAGCGATGCCAAGACGTGAACTTGGACGGACGACAAGATTTGAGAGCTTTTTGGGGATGAGGGCCAACGCTGAAAATCTCACAGAGTCGTGTCCTGCTCGTACTTCCTGGAGTCCGTGTGTGTTGTCTCTGAACACTGGACTCGTTGTCTTATTGTGCTGCATGTTTTTACTGCGTCTGCAACACAGGACAACGCTCATTCATCACAGTTATTATTAATTGTTCATGTCGTTGGACGTGTGTTTTTCACATGAATAAAAACTTCTCTTAGTCAACGTAGTTCATTAAAGAATGAACAATGAGGCAGTTTCCTCGTGTCTGATCCGTCCGACATGTGATCGCTTCATGTGATGAGTGAGAGCTGCTCTCAAAGGTTACAACTCTTCACTGTGTGTGTGTGTGTGTGTGTGTGGGGGGGGTGGGGGGGCACTCATTAAATTTCTGCATTTCCAGAAGTGCAGTCTGAATATGAAGTGGCTCAAATGGAAGCGAAAGAGAAGAGCAGCAGGAAACTAGAATCCCTCAGTGGAGCTCATACCTTCACCCAGACCCTTCAAATCAAGCTGCACCGAACTACTCAGAACATCTTTTATTTCTCTTTAGACCCGTTAATATTATTCTCTGGGAAATCAGTGAAAGAGAAAAACAATGTTATTTCACAATGTCAAAGAAAGTGGATCTGGCCTCTGGGTGTTGTGTAATCCTGCTGACAAAATAAATAAATGGACGAAAATGATATAACCTCGTAGGTGGAGGTCATGAAAAACTGTGAAATCATATAAAATGAGATTAGATAAGATAATCCTATAATAATATAATAACAAGAACAAAACATCGCTCCCAACACATTGAATATAAAGAGACGTGTGATGTAAAACCTTTAAATTCACCTTTAACACTTCGATGAAACCAGAACTTCTGTTGACCTGAGAGTGAGTTGCTCCGTAGTTCGATGTGACTCTAAGATGTTTTATTCAGCTGCTACAACTACGATCACGTGTCACACGGCAGAAACACACAACAGCATTTTTACACGTGTGTTCATAACCACACGCACACGGGTAGTGGTCTGAAATCCGTCGGTCACGTCTCAGACACTGAATATTAAACTCTGTACCTCGTCTCACATGATGACACGTTTTATTAATCTCTCGGTGCATAAATTCACAAAGCATCACCACCACATGTGCTCTGTGACAAAGGTCCCTGCCAGCAGGAAGTGACTCCAGCTCTCCTCTGTCCCCTGCTGGTGGACGAGCCTCCATGCAACCAGAGTGACATGTTCAGTCACAACCTGGGAGCACCTGCAGCTTTTGAAAATGTCTGAACACCCCCAAAGAAAACCTCCCTCAGGGTGTGATGGTAAAATGAATGAACATTTTAAAAGACTGGGGCAACTCTCTCGTCTGTCCTCGGTCTGTCCCCCCACCATCTGGTGTCCAGGTGCATGTCTGTCTCTGTGCGACGGACGCTGCCTTAATGATCTCGTTAATTTCTGTCGACAACCGGACGACGCTCCAGATAAATTGAAGACAGTCGAGGAGAATATCAGGGATAAAAAATGTTTTTCCGTTTTACTCACCTTCATCAAACCTTAACCTGGAGTGTTTTTATCACGTCCTTGAACTCACTCATCGGCTGCATGTGAGAACACACATGTCTCCGAGTCACGTGCTCCGAGACAGTTTCCATGTCCGGAAAATGGCAGATGAACCCACGTGACACCCGACTGGAAGAACACAACCATCTCAGGATGAAGAAGAGGAGCCGTACACGTAGAAGACGAAGACGTCGACTTGGAAAGACGAGGAGATTCCAGATGTTTTGGTGATGAGGGCCGACGCCGGTGTGGACGAGCTGTAAACACTGATCTTTACACATTTTCAAGTCATGTTCCGCCTCCTGCCGCTCTGCAGGCTCCACCCCTCACCTGAATGCCCCCCCCCCACATGTTCCTGTTGTTGTTTACGAGTGGGAGGTTTTGTTTACATGTAGATAAAACTGTATTTTGTTGGATTTATATTCAGATCAAAGAGAAAGTCTGCGCTCTAACTAAAAGACTTTGATGTCAGCAGGGGTGGATGTCATTAACCTGAGGGGGTTTACAGCTCGGCTGGACAGATGTGCTCCAACACATCCTGATGTGCTGCGGCCTCATGGGAGACCAGCCGCACTGCTGCCTAAGTGCAGATGCATGCATCGTATTACAGCTGAGCTCATAAATAATAAAGACCTTTCACAGACCATTCCTGATGCTCGTCACACGCAGGACTTTTCCGCAGAACCACGAGGAAGGTCGGGACATATGCCGAAAGAATTTACCGAGCGAATACGATCCAACGGGTCGTTCCCGTAATGTTTCACCACTTCCTTTGACATTTCACTGATTCACCAGGGAACGATTAATGGATGTTTACACATTTAGAGAACGGTAATCTGTTTCTAATTAGGTGCAGCTTGATTGACTTCCAGAGGCTGTTGGGTTTGAGAAACGTTCTTGTCGTTGTCTCGTCTCCTGACACGCATGTGTTGAAGACAGTCAGACGCTCTGGCTCACACACACACACAGGCCTTCATGCTCCAGACGTTTGACTCAGCCTGAAATGATGATGAAATGAGACTGATGATTAAATGACCCTGACAATAAAATCCACTGAACTGAGGCTGGTTAAAAACACACAACGAACACCAGAGGCCAAATCCTGCAAAGTGCTCTGTCCATCGGTCGCTCAAGACTCGCAGCTGTTTTATTAACGAGGAAATATTTGGAAAATCATTTTACATTCATGTCCCATCTGCTAACATGGAGTAGGTGGGGTTTATGACCACCAGGGGGCAATTCAGACATTCTGGCTTTACTTTTGGAAGCTGTCATGTCCTCCATCTTTATTTACAGTCTGAGATAAAATACGCTCTCGACCTTGAAAGACGAATAAACGTAACACTACATCTTAAAATCCGATCGTCTTCATCTCTTTCAGGATAAAACAAGCTTCTCCTCCACCACTTGATTTGAATGTCTGTTTTAATGTCTGCATAAAGAAAGTGAAATAGATGAACGTGTCCTCTGACAGATTTAGAGACATTTCAGGACGAATGTGGAGAAAGTCGTCCCAACACGACCTTGACTCAGAGGACAGAGGTTCAGGAAAGTCCCTCCTCCAACAATCAGCCGTTCTTCTCCTTCACGTGATGGTCGTTGCTTAATTTTGTAAATAAACTCATCTGATATTTCATAAAAACCCACGAGTTCAATTAATGACAGAGGAAGACAATCATGAATGGAGTTATAAGGTTAAAGGTCATGTGAGGATTCTTCCTCTCATGGTTCCTGATACGCTGAAGGCCGAGTTCAGACTCAGGTTCTTCAACAAGATGTTTGGAAGTTGTTCTCACACTGATCAGCACAAACAACAGAGTATTTAACTTGGTTTCATCAGCTGGTGCTTCACCCGCTCTTCACCCCTCCACGTGGCGTCGCCAGCACAAAATGGCCGCGCCTGGGTTCAGACGTTTGGACGTATTATACGTGACTTCAGTCTGTCTCCTGATGTTTAAGTTTTGGAGCTCAGGTATGTGGTCTGAAGAAGTTGTAGGAATACGTTGACATTGACAATGAGGTCAGAGACTCGATCTCCAGCTGATTCAAGAAGTTTCGTTCAAAAACACGAGAGGGAACCAAACTCTGGTTTAATTACAATGAGTGTCTGATTGGAGAATATACAGTTCTGATGTAAATTCTTCAGACACATTATAATTAACTGTTTTAGAAACATTTCATTCAGGGTTTATATAAAGTCAAACCTCCGACCCTCTGGTTTCTTCATTCACTCAGTGTGAGCAGCTCTAACATCACACAGGGAGGAGAGTGGATTTCTGTGATGAATATGAAACTACACCTTCTTCTGAACAGTAAATCCACAAAGTGAATTTGTAATTAAATAATGAAAGCGATAGATATATGACAAGCGGCTGCTGAGCAGAGCGGAGCCGGGATCGATCTCCGAGTCGCTCTGATGTGAGTCACACACGACAGATGGAGGTTTCATCCATCAGCAGCTCAGACGGCTTCACTCCGTCAGAACAACTCACGATGTTTACATTTATTTAAGATCGAGTTTCAAATGTTAACATGAGAACAAGAGGAGAAATGAGTCAGAACAGAAAATACTTTAGTGAAAGTTCTGGTTCTGGTGAAGTTTATATTTATATTAACATTTAATCATGTTGTTGTCGTCATGTTGAACTTTCTCTTTAAGATGTTTGAAATGTTTTAATAAATATTTAAAACCAGATGAAGAAAATTTAGATGTTTCAGAGTTGCTCATGAAATCAAATAATTTTTCTCCCTTACATAATGTCCAAACTTTATATTATGAACAGCAGCAACAGTGAGGAGAGGTGAGGAACAGTGAGGAGCAGTGAGGAGCAGTAAGGAACATTAAGGAGCAGTAAGGAGCAGTGAGGTGAGGAGCAGTGAGGAGAGGTGAGGAGCAGTGAGGAG